ATATGAAACGTTTCACTCATCCCTCTTATGCCAATAACAACTTCCTGTTGTATCTTCGAGACAGAACAGTGGAAGAGCCTGGACAGTTTTTTAACTGTCAGTGAGGAACACAACAAGGCCAAAAGGCCACTTTGAAAACTGGGTGTCTTTATTGTTGAGATCTGTAAAACAATAGCACTGATTGCTGGTTTCTTCTCTTCAGTTTACTGGATGGAAAACAGCTCAGCATAATATGTGCAAAACTATTCATAAATGTTCCCTTCGACTACCTTTACATAAACTAAAAATATGTCTGTTGTTTTTACACTCTAGTGCCTATCTGGTCATGCTCTAGCTGTAAAACTAACAACAAAAATAGAAGGATGAAAAATACAGGACACACACACAAAAGAAAAGCTGACACTTATATGGGACTACAAGGCTATTTCCATAGAATTTTAAAGCAGAAACATCTTCACACCTTTTGAAAAGGCGGCAACATCTCTGAAGTGAGAAAGCATTCACATGATAAGAAATGGAGAGGCTTTGGATATAACATATGGCCTCCATCCTGTGTTTGAATGTGAGCAGGAGGATTGAGTCCACGTGGATTTTCAGTAATATCAACAAACGCCATGCAGGCATGAAGGTTTGCCCACACACATGAAGCTGTGGGAATAGGGTAAAGCAGAAAGGAATACTATAGTGGATTTGATGCCAGAAGATCTTAACCACCAGATGTACCAGGCTGCATACTCTACCTGCCTATGTGCCTAGTGATTTCTTCCCTCATGTGCTATGAATAATTCCTTCCCCTAGGATACTACTTTCCTTACTTAACAAACGTGCCAGAAAAAGCTATTTCTGAAATAATTATTCTCAAATAATCAACACAGTTTCAACATTTTTGTTCAAACATAACGAGCTATTCAGTGTTAGCTACTAATGTACATGAGAGCCTTGGTGTTCTTCTCTCCTACAGAACCACTTGTGCTAGCTTGAATTACCTCAGATTGTGTAACAGTAAGAAAAGAAGAGTTATCAGACCTTATGCATCATCATTCAATTACTAATTCAAGCCCTGGCATAATTTAGAGTTCCTATAGGACATCTCTGTGCTATGCCAGGTAATAAGAGCTCAGAGACTACAGAAGCAGCAAGACAGAAAATGAAATGCACTGTGCTCCAAGGACCCCCATAGACCTCAATGCCAGGAGACACTTGATACACAGGAGATACCTCTGACACTTAGCAGGTTTTTGATCCCATTATAATTGTCCATGATACGTGATTTATGACCCACATGACTTCTGCCAAATAGGCCAAAGCAATTACATCATAGAAGGGATGTCCCTTCATGACTTCAGGATGATAGCAAAAGATGAAAATGCTTTCAAATAATGAGAGCTGTGAGACTTGCACAGATTCCATCCATTTTAGTTCCTGCAAACCAAAACAGTAAGAGGTAATGTACCAATTCATGGGAAGCCACGAGAATGTTGAACACACAGGTTCTATAAACCATTTTGTTGATGGATTAACAGAAAATGTACATAGATATCTTTTTAATCAATGCCTACTATGGTATCTTTCCCTTATTTAAATGAAATATTCTGCAGGAGTTTCAAAACAGTATCCTGTTTTTTATCCTGAAATTGATTTTTAATATTTAGAATCACAAAAAAAAAAAAAAAAATTAAAAAATGCACTGGTTTATACAGTTGACAATGCAAGTAAATTATGGCAGCCATTATGGGATCAAAAGCATCTGACCTACAGCTGAGAACACTGATGGTAATTAATCTTAGGTGATATTCTCATCAGGAAAGGAAAAAAATTGGTTGTCATACTATCAACCATAATCCTTTCCCTATACAAACAGTACAGCCTCTGTGCCATCATGATCTGCAACTCCAAAAGAAGCAGAGGGGTCTTATTTCAGCTTTCTGTTTGGAGGACATCTTCATTTTGACTACCCTGTGTTCTTCTGGTATTCTACCATAACTCAAAACGTTGAAGTCCATAATACAAATCAAGACCAGTTTTCTTCATACATTACACCTCAAAGGAATAAATATGCATCATGTCTTACAGGAAAGAGAGGCCTTTCATTTCTTTCTAAAAGATACAAATTGTTTTCTTGGTCCTTCAGTCTATTCTTATTTCTCATTTCCCTCTGCAAGAATTCTTCTTTCAAACGATTTCAAGTTTGCAAAAGCCTTAATTCAGTATGCCAAGAGATCTTAAAATGTTGTTTGCAAAGTTTGCAGACAAATAATTTCCCAAGCATAAGGGCCAGTAATTAAAATATACGTATATTCCTAAATCTCAGTACCATTTCTTCTAAACCAAGCAATGTAATACACGTAATAACAATAACAAATGTTAGATCATTTATATACATCATATACATCATATACATGATGTATATCATCATATACATGAAAATGTATAAGCCTCCTTTAAATAGATTATTTTCCATATAGTAAGCATTAAGGTCCTACCAAAACTAAGTCTTAAAAAATAATGGGAGAGATAGCAAAAAACCAATTGTATATCTTCATTATTTAATTAAGAAACAGCAGTAGCGCTACATTCAGCATACTTTATATTTAAATTCATCAAATAAGTAGCAAAAGATTTTGTGACATAGGCTGAACCCATCTTTCAAAGAGAAGTTTACTAATAAGGATAATGACTTATCAGCTAACTTAACAGCCAGTTCTGTCCGACGATTAACGCCATCCCTCTGAACGGCAGCCCTCAAAAGGCCCTAATCCAGATATTCACTGGAATTAGTGGGAGGCCGGTGCAGCCTGACGTGCACAATGAATTCAGCCTGTGCTGATGTTCAGGAAAGATCCACGCACAGAACAGTCCTGTCTCTGCACCGCTGTGACAACCTTCCTTGCCTCACATTCTGCTCGTTTGTAGCACTGTGCCTGAACTGCAGGGCTTTTCTCAGCAACGTGTTGAATGAATGGCCAGCGCTGAAGTGCCACACAGACACAGCTCCTGGAATCCAGCATTAAATGGAGGCAAGCCTTAAGAGAGCCTGTTACACCTTCCCTCCCTTGGACTGTTATCCAGACACCCCAGCTACACAGTATGCTACAAAACATAGCGTGGAAAGGATGGCAAAGAAAAGATACATAGCATTAGTGTCAACGAGGTATCTACAAATCTTAATCCTTTCCACCAAGGTGACAAATCCTGAGGATTCCCGAAAAAAATACAGATCCTTAGGAAGAAGAAAAATAAAAAACCAAAGGCTAAATGCCTCTATGTTCATAATCCACATGCTTCAAAGGCTAAGACAAATTATTTGAAACTGCAGCTCTGCCCATGCAGCAAAAGCATTCCATCACTCATTTATTTCATATATTCCTTCACAATAAAATTAAAAGAAAAAAAAATAATTTAAAAAAAATGAAAAGGAAAACAGGAATTGGAATCCTCTGTAATGAGAGAGAGAGAGAGAAAGAGAGGGAAGAGACCCCCTGCAGGACTGACCTCACTGTCAGTCTCAGGAGCCTGGATTCTCATTTGGGAAAGCAAGAAAAGGAGGGAGGAAGATTAGGAAATGCTGGCAGCTAACTGCATGGCATAAGGACCTGCAGAGAATGGGACAGCTTTGTTCTGTCTCAAGGTATTACTGTTAGGATGGCCAAGAAAGTGATAACCTTCGTTTTTCCATTCTCACCGTGGTACTTAAGGAAGTGCCTAATTTGAAGAGAACTGGACAGGCGGCATATCATGCTGAGCTAAATAGATCAGCGTGAGATTTAAATGACAAGAGGCAGCAGGTTTTGCTGTTCTAAAGAGAGAGAGAATTATTCTGATGACATCAGTGGCACCAGTAGAAGGTCAGCTTGGGGTGCTGCTGGTGTCACCTGAGTGCCTGGTAGCAGATGGTGCCAGTCTGGAGGGATAAAAGAAAGACTGACGTGCCACACAGGCTGACAGCAACAGAATTTGCTTAGGAATAAAGGAAGTTTTAGGTCAGATGCAGGCAGTATTAATATGTCAGCACCAGTGTCACCAGTCCAAGGGCTGCAAGGCTGGGTCAGTCAGAAAACGCTGCAGGAAGCGCAGTGAGGGCAGGCACTGCCAGGGTGAGTGCTGCAGGATCTGCTGGCTGTGGGCCGGCCGAGCCGTTCTCTGCACGACCCCAAGGGAGCTTTGGAGATCCCTCTCCATCACCACAGCTGTGTCAGGCTCTGCTGTGCCCACTGGGATGCCCTTCTCTCCCCCTGCAGAGCACTGGCTGGTGGAGCTCAGGTTCTCGTTCCCGGACTTACGCAACACCCAGAGGGCAGAAGCAGCCTGCAGGGAAGCGGAACGGCAGGAGACACGGGTGGCCTGGATCCCCATAGGGCTCGCTGAAGTGTCCCGAACTAGAAGACTGGCCACCTCCCCGCTACTACCTCCTACAACATAATTATTCCAGCATGACTGACATGACAAATTAACAAGGCAGCCAGGGCTTTTGCAGCAGAAGGAAGTGTTTTCCCCAAGAATAAATTGTTTCAATCCTTTACGCTAGACACCCAGCCGTGCCTATTCATTAATTGGACAAGCTCTAGTGACAACTGAAATTACCTGATTTCTGTATACTAGAGGAGAGAGAGATCTTTTCATGCTTAAAAATGAGGAGTCTAAAGCTGGAATCCTAGCCACCGAGTTTAAGAACTTCAAGGGCTATGAAATTCTGAGATTACTGCAGTGTTGGGATTAATTATCACAACCAGAATACATTAGGAATTTGAAGCACCTGCTTAATCACTGCACTGTGGTTATTTATTGCAACCAGCGTATCGTAATTACAGGTACTGGATATAAGGGGGGAACTGATGGCTGATGGTTTCTGTCATGATCCACTCACAATATGTTGTTCACGCATTATTCAACTACAGCTTAGATCTGCATTTATCCATCTCTTGCCCCTCGCTTAGGGAAACCCCGGCAGCCCTGCCAGGTATTTCTCACCCACACCCGCCCTTTCTGTGCTGGTTGCGTACCTGAAATGCAGACAATGAAATTCGCTTGCAGAAGAAAAAGCACCTCCCAAACAATTTCCATCCTCTGATTCTCATGCCAAGTGCATCCCTCGGCGAAAAAAAATAACAAAGATCAATATCGCAGTTTGAACGATCCCAGCAATTTTCCTTCTGGACTTGCAGACTGTATTCCCCAGATGTGCTGACAACACATGTCCGAGCTCTCTCTGTGTACGGCTCAAGCAAGATCCCTTCCCTTCCTTCGCCCTCCAAAAAACACCACGAAGCCAACCGCCAGGACGGGGCTCTTCCTCCACGAGCGAGAAAAAAATCCGCCGGATTTCCCAACAAGACATAGACCACAAACCCCAACCGATCCGGTCCGGAGCGTCTCTATTCCAGGGCGGCCGGGTGCGAGTTAACCCCAAACTCTGCACGTCTCAGCGGGGCAGCGCCAACATGCCTGGGGCAGGGAGGCGACGGAGGAAGGGAGTTTCCTCTCCTGCTGCTACAAAACGAGCGGAAAGAGATTAATACCCGCTGCAAAGCCTTCGCCCCCCATCCCGACGCTACCGCACCTCCGCGGCGCGGAGCTGAGCGCGACGCAGCCGGCTCTCCAGCCGGGCGTTCTGCAATCCCCGGAGCCCAGGCTGCTTTCCGCCCGGTGACTGCAGGGGTCGTTCTTGCCCCGCGCAAAGCGCTGCCCGGCCCCGGCCGCGCTGCCCCCGCCGCTGCCGCCCACCGGGGCCGCTCCGACCTCGGCCGCGCAGCTCGGCGGCCCCGGGAGGGGCTGCGGTCGGGGCTGGGGGGGCACCGGCACTCGTCCCCTCCCCCTCAAATCCAAATCCCAACCGCAGAAGTGGAGGCTGCGGGCAGCCGGGGTTTGTGCGCATCGCCGGCCGGCTTCGCTAAGGATGCCGATATTTTAAAACTTATTTAAAGAAGGAGGAAAAGAAAAACAAATCCAAACTTCTCCCGGATTTGGCGGTAGGAAGGGGAACGTGAGCGTACGAGCAAGACTTAGCGAAGTACTTGTGCTGCAATGCACAGCTAATTGCATTCCCCGATCCACAATAGTTCTGCGGAGATACCTTTCCCCCTCCCCGTCCCCAAACAAGTACTGCCGATTTTGGGGCAATCTCTTACTTACCCCCAAATCCTCCCGCTTTTTACTGTTTTTCAGCTCATCAGATTTGTCACTCTCGCCTGCAGTCCCAAAAACAAACCGAGGTCAAGCTCCGAGCCGCGCGCTGCAGCCACCTACCACCACCTTTAGCTGCAAGGAGGTACCATCGCTCGTCGGCTTCCCCCCCTCCTCCCCGAATCCCCGCTAGTTCGCCATTTCCCCGAGCGGCGCAGCGTGCTGCGGGATGCCGCGGGCCGGGCACGGCGGGGCTCGGCGCGGCGGCGCGCACGGGCGCGGGCTGAGCGCTCCGCTCCGCTCGGAGGCGGTGCCTGGGCGGGCGGCGGCGGGGCCGCATCGCAGCGCGGCAGGGGGGTCTGCGGCGGGGAGCGGGCAGGGCCGAGCGGGGGAGGCGAGGAGGAGCGGCAGCCTTCCCTCTCTCGCGCGGCCGTCCGGCTTTTCGGGCACGTTCCAAAAGCGGCCGCTCACTTTGTTTAAAACGTGCGTCCAAATTTTAATTTTCTTTTTTTTTTTTTTCCCCATCCAAAAAGAGGTGCACCTGGAGAGGTTGCGCTTCCCGTTCTGCAGAAAGGGGAAGCCGAGTGCAGAAAGGCAGCGACGAGGGGTTGGGGAGCTGCGCAGCGCTGCGCGGGCGGTGCGTGGGGGGCTGCCCCGGGCCGCCCTGCCGCTATGGGGAGGGGGGAGCAGAAGCTGCAGGTCGCAAGTAAAAATCCCTGTTGAGAAGGATGTGAGATGGTGATCCTGCAACCGCTCCGACCGCGGGTGCCTTCATTGATCACTGCACGGCAGAGGGAAAGGGGAGGGAGGGGGATGCTTCGGGTTTCAAAGAGATATCCCGGCTCGCGGCAGGTACGCAGAGGTCATATTATGAATACTCCAGCGGGAGCTGCATGCATAATCGGTTGAATATAGGTTGGTTTATAAACAGCAAGCCCAGGGCTTCTTGGAAAATGCATCTTTGCCTGGATTCTAGTGAAATGGGAACGCCTGAGTGGGGAAGGAGGGGATCTGTACAAGAATAAACCACAGGCTTGGCTGTTACTGTCATCAGCTCTGAGAAATATGTGGGAGTCACAGGTTTCGAGTCATCCCGCCAGTATTTCTTTGCAGTAGAAAAGATTTCTTGAGCGATTCAAAGACATTGAATGGGACAAAATCAGCAGTGTTCGAAAGCACGAATCAGACTGTAGACACTTAGTAGTCAGTGTAATTCCTGCTACGGATTTTGGTAATTTTAAGGTAGCATCCTTGCACTGCAGCAGTGTCTGCTGATGCTTTCTCTCTCCTCTGATGGGTTATAAAAGAGACTCAGGATTTTAAGGAGGTGTTTGCCATCTTCTGGCCAGTAAGATCAGCTAAGTGCAGCTGGCAGGAACCACTGTTATTCAAGCCTTTAAGGACGCAGAGCTTAACTTAAAGAATTTTCATAATTTTTGATGGATTTTCAGTAAACAATGGGATGGTGTAGCAAGAGGGATTTCTTTCCTTGGTGGGAGTTGGTTTGAATACTTGAATATAAAAAATAGGAATTATCTATCTTTGGCAAAATGAAAATATTATAGGAATGGAGTACAGTATAGGAGTTAGGGAACCAAGGCATCCTGTGGGTGAGCAGGCTTTTATCAAGTATGGCACTGATATACCTGTGGGCTTTGAACGAGTTGTCCAGGAGAAACAGAATAGTGCAGACTTTGAAAGATGCTGAAATAAGATTTGCATCTTGTTCTTGAAAAGTTAATGAAACAGGAAGTGCGGGGAGCTCTTCTTTAGGATCACATTAAATAAAGACAAGAAAGCAGAAAAAACAATTATTACTGGGCCCAAGACCTTGTTTGTCGAGTAATCTGTGTTTTCAGAATCGTGTAAAATAGCAGATGCAGAACTCTTCTTTATGCCCTTTTAAAAGCCAGGTTAATCTCTCCTACTCTGGCATTATAAAAGAATATGCCATCCTTGTCTGGACGTATTTAAGCACGCCTTAGGAAATTCTCTTCTGCTGATGCTTACTAAACTCCTTTTCTCTAACAGATGAACATTTTCCATGGGGTTGGCTGTAAATTCTCTGTTGGACTTCCCAACTGATTTCTTAGAATAGAATCCCAATCCACAGCACAGTAAAATCATAAGGAGACTCTTACCTTTTATGCTCATATTTTACACAGTCAGCCTTCCTCCTAAACCAGAGTCCTTGAAATTATGTCATGATATGTGGGGAAATAAATGTCTTGAGCAAGTAAGAAATACACAGGATCGAGCAGAGGATGTAAAAGGCTGTAGCTTTTCTTCTAGTGACCTGCTCTAGGAGGGCGTGTTGTCCATTAAGCCATTGAGGAATCAGACTGGTGACAAGAGAGAATGCCAAATCCTATGCAGCAAGCTCATGCTTGATTCCTGTTAATGACAGTAGAACTTTACTGTGAGTTTAATGACAGGAAATGAGTTAGACAGTTGATGTTGGCCACTAGCAGATAGCCAAAAATCCCAACTACAGTAATTTTTGTGCATCTCTTCACTGTGGCATGTTAAACTCCCTTATGCAAGCCTTATGCTTACTTCAGTGGCCAGTGATAAACGAGTAGTTTGTGACTCGGATTAGCAAACCTATGAGGAATCAAAGCTGAAAGTTTCCTTCACCTGGAAAATACAGTAGTGAGCTCAGAAAACAGAACTGACTTTAAAATGTAGATAAATAATAATGAATTTGTTCTGCTGTCATTTACTTGGTCTGATGTTATTTGATTGGCAGTGGCCTTGGAGCTTGGTTTTGAAATCATTACGGCCACATTGGCTGCTGCAGCTCCGCAGGAAGGCTTGATTCAATAAAGTTGAATGGATGTCAACGTGGGCCTATTTCAAAGCCCACAGAAATCAATTTAAATATTTCTGCAGACTTCGGTGAGTTTTGGATCAGTCTCTCACTACAGGATTTGGCAGTGTGTTTGATCCCAAGGGAACTGGTTGAATATAATGCAGTGTATTTGGGATAGAAGGAAGAGGTGCTATGGAGCAGAACATAACTCTCCTGTGTTCATTGGCATGGTCCTAAGTTCAAACTAGACAAAAATGCAAGTTGTGGCATCAGTTCTTTATTGAATGAATTTCCATTCAGATCTCCTTCTGTAACTCACTAAAGTGAACAGGTTTGATATTTGCTACATATATTTGATTTCCATTCATGTTTGTACCATTGGCTAAACTTACCAAACTTACTCTTGTCAGCCTTTAAGCTGTGTTGAAGTCGCTGGACATCTCATGCACCAGAGCTAAAGATGACTGTAAGGTGTCTGTAGAAAGTCTCTGAAGCATGTTCATATTTTGAGAATTTTGCAATCCAGAAGCCACTGCTAGGATTTTCTGTCAGTTTATGAGTACCTAACATATTAGTTACAAGCTGGATGTCTTGATTCTTTGGGCCAGATTTACAGGAAAGGATTATTTTTTTAGCTATGCGAACAGAGTTCAAAAAATACTTAAAATTCCACATGCTTGAATACTTTTATACCAACAGAGTACATTACATTTCGGTAAGACAAAGCTATGGTTTGCACCTTCTCAAAGGAGCCAGCATTTGGACTCATTTGACACAAAATGAGCTTGGATGGGAAAAGATCAATTGTAGAAATTGTTTTGAACTGGGCAGCTTCTGAGCAAAATGTGTTGGACAGTGGCTCCTGCTGTGTTGATGGACGAGGTTGCTGCCATTCATCACTGCTGAGCTGCTGAAAGTTCCCACTGATCTGGTGCGGCATCTTGCCTGTGCGCTCCCCAGCTCATTTCTGTCAAAGTCAGTCAGATCAGCAAAGGCCTATTGAAGTTGTCTGAAACTTTGGGCTTCTTTCTAGCTATTACGCTGGCAGAGCTGGAACAACTCCTTCTCTTACCTGTCTCCTGCTGTCCCAGGGGTTGCTGGCCCCATGGCAGGGCTGATGGAAGAGCCTGTGAGTCAACTTACAAATTGCCACTGGGAACAGCCTAGGATGAACTTGTTTGTAGAAAGAAGACAGAAAGGACTTTTATAACTAGGCTGTAATTTGAATGTCTTCCACTGTAAGTTCCAATAACCTTCATACAAGGCTGTAAAATGCAATAATAAATTGCAAATTCCTGCAAAATAACTAAATAAACAAATAAATCTATGCATTGTATAGATTTGCAAACATTTGAAGATATGATAAAGAGTGACATACACATTTCTTTTAACGTAAGAATCAAGACTTGTCTTCTCATTCCTTTGGTCCTTATTTATTTGATCTGTGAGGAACTCTAATGTTAATGAATGAGAATGGAGTTAGGATAGAATTCACAGTCCTGATTGTACCAACATTGGCTGTATGGCTTTGGACAAAGTGCCTGGATCTCATTTTTTAGGATTTATAAAACGAGTTGCAATTAGCGAGGAATTCTATAAGAACAGGCCAATAATTTGCAGTAAGAAAGGCAGTATTGACTTTTGCCACTTCAGCAGTAAGAAGACAAGTTCTCACAGGTGCCCACGCTCCTCTGATAACAGCAGTAGGCAGCAAGTAGGGAGGCAGTGCAGCACTCAGCCGGATGCCAATCCTTCTCACTTCACCTCTTTCAGTGCTTTTCCACACTGTTCATTCACTGATGCTCCCTGTGTTCCCCCCTCCCCACAGCAGCGATGCCATGGGATGTGCTGTGCTGGTTTCCCATGTGAGACCAGGAGGCTCTGCTTGAGCTCTGCAGGGGTTTTACCATCACCAGCAGCATGCTGCCTGGCACAATTTCCCACTTGCCTGTGTGTGAATGCAGTCCTCACAGTCAGGTTTCATTATAAGCCTTGAGGTGGCTTTACAAAGATGCCCTGTTGCAAAGATACACCTTCTTTGTTCAGGTGTTAAGCAAGTTAATACTAAAAAGCTGCTAGCAATAGGTGAGTTGCTGTAACCATAAATCTAGTTCTCATGTTCTGTACATTGTTACTGCCATTCTTTCTTGTATTCTATGATTTATTTGAACTTTAAAACATCCCTAAGAAAGGAGTGAGGAAAATGACTGGCAGTTAACTATTATATCAATCAATGTGTTTTTCCTGTGACTCAATC